ATGATCGAGGCATACACAACGCAATGGTCAATCATGCAACAACATGGACTAAATGGCACATACAATGTAAGATGGACTTAAACCAAGATAGGTGAGCCTTAGCCACACCCAAATCAGTGGCCAAACATGATGAAATTAAGGCAACAACACTTATGCAAACATGCACAATGCGAGGGACCAAACCTAAGGTACAAAGTGCAACTCTACTAAGGCATGGCAAGGGATTAAATATGGCATACAATCACACATTTTTCAGCTCTAAAATTTCATACAAAGTGGCTCCAAATCATGCAAACACCTCACACAATGCATACTAGATGGCCCGGATACCGAAACTAGTGAAGTGCATTACACTAAAGGTATGCAAAGCAATGCACAAATGACCAAACCAGCCCCAAACAGTCCCTATGCAGGCCCAAAACAGTAGGAAAATGGACTAAAATGATGACTCGAAAGGCATGGAAATGAAGCTCATGCAATGGCCTATAAATGAGGTATTTAAGCACGACTCTCAAACACATTTAAAGAGTGAAAAATATGGGAATATGGCATAAGTATAGGCTCTGAAATGACATGCTTAATGACCCCAAAACATGAAAGCACCACCATTCAAGCATGCAAGAAGCTTCAAAACTCAAAGCTAGGCATGGGCATTACACTACAAGCATGCATAGCAAGCATCATTCGACCAAGAGGTCTAAAAACAGAGCTAAGGCAGCCCAAAACATGCACAAAATCAGTTTGGAGTATGGCCAAAATATGCTAGAATCAAAGGCCAAAATAGCATGCAATGTAAGCTAGTAAAGAGGATTTACACTACAAGCATATGAGGCATTCAAGGGGTCACTAAAACAGCAAAACTCAGAGGTATGACATGCCAAACAAAGCCCAAAAACTCACTGAAACATAGTCAATGCATGCAAGAATGGCATGCTCCTTTGATAAGCTATGAAGAGGGTTGTTCTACACATGCAAGATGGACACCCAATATGGAAAAAAAAAGCTCTGGACAGAGCCTATGCAGGTCCTAAAACTCACCAAAAATGGCCTGAAACATGGCTCGGAAGCATGCAAATAAGGGCTCCTTTGTTAGGCCAAATATGCTAGGAAACAAAACAAGGGGATAGAGGGTCACCCCTCTCTCATTTTGGCACTCAAAACAACATTTCAGTGGCTAGAGGGCCAAACAAAGGTCAATGCAAAGGCCCTAATGCATGGCTCAAAATAAGGCAAAATGAAGCATGCAAGGGGGTACATGACCCCCAACAAAAAAATGATCTGAAATAAACATGTTAAGGACCTCAAAAAAAGACTTTTTCCAGTTGATGACAAAGCTCAAATATTCCTGCAAGTATGGCTAAAAGTTGAAGCAAAATAAAGCCTTATTTTATCCCTATACCTATTTTAGCCAAAAAAAACCAACTTTCTAACCTCGAGAAAGAGAGGGAAGCCCAGTTGTGCTTTGATCAAAGATATTTTTCAAAATTGGTGGCCGGTTTTATTAAAAACATTGATCGAAAAGTAATTCAGGCTTACTTGGGCACAAGCAAGCCAAGGGTATGGGACCCTGCACTTGTGCATGCATGGATGGCACATGTATCGAGGCAAGTGGTGCGCATGCACGTGCGTTGTGCGTGCGCACTTCCAAGTGTGGCAAAACGTATTTTAGAAACTCAATTTTGTTGCATTTCTATGCAAAATTGTTTGTTTTGCATACTTTTATGAATATTATTTATTTTAGGTTGGGTTTATGGCTATGGATTGATAAAATCCACTTTTATTGAAAAATCATTGTTTTTGGAACAATATGACTTTATTCTCTTAATCTAAAATAAATAGTATTTTTATTTATTTATCTAAATCACATAGATTTAGGTTAGTTAAGGGTTTTTAGGTTCAAAACGATTTGTATGAATAATTAACCATTAAAATCATAAAATAGAGAACTAGTAGAGGTCTATCTTTGAATTGAACAAAAGGAAGTGCTTTCATTCAATAACCTTCCCCTTTTATACCTTAGCTCCCGAACCTGTAATTTCTGATTATGACAAGTCAGGTCTTTAACTTAGTGTTCCTTGTTAAAAGTTTCTTAATTCCCCTTTGAAAAGTTAAGTGGCGACTCTATGTTGATTAAAGTAAGTTGGCACAACATTTGAGTGGAAATGTATCTAATACCTAGAAAGGCACGGCGTCCACAATACCATCGAGGGAGGTACCACCAAGGTAAGTGATATCGCAGGAGGTACCATCGAGGTACATACCAAAATAGTAAAGACCGAGGGACACACTGAGGCCCTGCGGTTAGGACAAGGAATATTTCATGTGATCCTAAAGACGCATGTCATCACCCTATTGGCCATTTGGTATTTTCAATATCAAGGAAAATGCTATAAATAGGGCCCATTTCCCAAGATTTGAAAAGAGGATTTTGAGGATTTGGGGAGATGCTACCAATTTGTTTTGTTACCATATTCCTTCATATATTGCTTGCCCTACTCTCACTCGGCTACTCGCTCTCCAAGCCCTCAAATTATTTACTGGTTACATAATTTTGTCTCTCTAAGTGATATTATTTACATTGCACGTTTCAAACCTCCTATACTAGCGGGAGGTGGTTGAGGATGGTTTCTAACCACCGAAGGTGGTGATTGGCAGTAGTTGTCATAGGTGATAGTGACTAGATGTGGTGATAAGCAGTGGGTGATAGCCAGAGTTAACAAGAATTTTGAAAAATTTGTAAACTATTTATAAAATGTTTTAAACAAAAATAGATAACAAACAAATTTTGTTTATAATTTTCAGTTTTTTTTAGTAAAATTAACAGAAAACTATGCATTACCAAACAATTGATATTGTTTTTAATTTTTGTTTTACATTTTCATTTTCAAAAATAAACAAAATTTGTTTATAATTTTTAATTTTTTTAATTAAAATTAATAGAAAACTATGCGTTACCAAACAATTGATATTGTTTTTAATTTTTGTTTTACATTTTTTTTTCAAAAATACACGGCTTATTTGTAAAATTATTTTTTTAAAACTATGTTGGTACAATATTCTGATAACCACCACTGTTTACTAAACATCAAAAGTTATTTTTCATTTTCCTCAAATTGTTTTGCAGAAGAAATGTGAAAACGATACAAAATGATAGGGTATTGTTTTTGTTTCTAAAGATGAAAAACGAAAATTAAAGCCTAACCCCTGCCCATTTAATAAACTGGTTTAAACAAACTTGGTTAAATTGAGTACAAATCAACCCAATCAACCAATTTAATTATTTATTTGATAAGTATAGACATATTATTATAATTATAAATAATTTAAAAGTAAAAAATAAAAAACGTCCAGATGATGCTAACGAACACAAAAGAAAACACCCCAACCACTGCCCACTATACAAAGTCCAAAAAATCTAGAAATGAAAACATATCCAGATCCATTCTCCCCAAAACCCAACCATACAAAATTCCCAAGAGCCCACACTTCAACTGAACCACCGGCTCTTCCTTCTCTAGGAAAATCCTTTGATTTTGCTCTAACCAAATAAACCACATAAAAGATAGGGGCGCAAGAGACCAAGCCTTCCGGCCATGCTTACCAACCCACCCCCTCGCCAACTACAAAGAGCACGCTGTCCCAAACTGAACCAAGGACAACCCATTTAATTAATTTAACTCTTTGTCTAACGGTGGTGGGATGGTCCAGGAAGAGGTGGCAGCAACGGCGATGGTGGTTATGGTGGAAGTGGAGGTGAGATCGTGGTGGTGGTAGTTATAATATATACAAAAATACCAAACTTCAAAACCCGAACAAACAATCACACGCACAACAATTCTAGAACAAAGATAAGGAAAACAGAGTCCCAAAGCAACACGAGATCTACATGGTTCGCCCAAATTCAATGGCTATGTCTACGAAGTCACTACGGTTTCACTTAGATCAATATAAAAGGAGTTTGGAGCTTGGCTTCAATATGAAGGGAGTTCATACTTAGAAACTGGTTTTAAATAAAAGTAGGTTCTGAGGTTAGTTTGGAGTTTTTGGATTTTCACACTTCTAAGTCTTGAGTGTCCTGATTTGGTGGGTTGAGGATACAGCAGTAGTCATGAGGACTGGAGGATGGCCTCCACTCGTAGAATCACAGTCAGACGAAGATTTAGAAGTAATGTCAACCACCACCAAACATAACTGAGTTGGCTCTTGGCTGGCTAGGGTTTGGAAGAATGTGGTTAAAGGATTCTAGTGGTTTGGTTGGCTGAGGACACAGCAGTAGTCATGAGGACTGGAGGATGGCCTCCACTTGTAGAATCACACTCAGACGAAGAGTTAGAAGTAATGTCAACCACCACCAAACATAACTGAGTTGGCTCTTGGCTGGCTAGGGTTTGGAAGAATGTGGTTAAAGGATTCTAGTGGTTTGGTTGATCAGATTCAACTAAAAGTTCTTTAGCCTAGGCTGGGGAAGAAGCAGAAGTTGATTGAGACGGATTGGAATAGGCACTTGGATAAACAATTAAGACATTTTTTGTTTTGGATGATGTGATCGAGTTACTTGCGCAAGTTCACAGAGGCAATGAGGGAGAAAAGAGGAATGGTTGAAAAGATTATAATCGCCAAATGGAGAGAATTATGCAAGTGGTTGGGACATGGTTGGCAAAGAGATCAGGAATGACAGACTTGGGAGTAAAGAAAAAGGATCAAAAGATGGTCAAACAGACTGACTTTGGAGGAATTGGAGTTGTGCCTTCAAGCTTCCTACAGAGAGATGGCCATTATGCTTAGGATGGTATAAATTATGCAGAGACTGGTAAGCAAATCAGAGCAGCAATAGAGTTTGGAACTTATCTCATCGCACAACCTCCATGTGGGCTTCAGTCTTTGATTGCGTAATTCGAGCTTCATTTCCTGTTCATAGTTTACGGGTCTGGACCACCTCCACCACAAAATAACAGGGGTAGAAAGGAATACATATAGAATACAATATGACTCATATTTCATATGGAATACCATTACAAGTCTGATCATGACACCAAAACTGCTGTAAAACTAATCTTTTGTTTAGGTATATGATTACAGTGAAGATTTGTGAGGATAAGAAGAAAGAAGAGATATAATGCTTATCAAACACAAAACGGGGAAGGGGGGGGATAAGGTAGAATTAAATTAAAATGTCAGCTAAAAACAAAATTTATAAGCTACAGAACTTGCGTTCTCTAGATCAAGAAAATTATACATTTCCAGCCAACCTTGCGTGGCAGCACTACTCCTTTTGAAAGAAAGAGAGTACAAGATCCGTATGTACAGAGAAAAGTTGCGTGTCCACAAAATGCTGTATCACAGAACAAGAAGAGAATTAATAATATGTTTTCTACTTTTACTACCTATACAAAGTCGCAATTTAAACAGCACTAAGAGAACAGGAGGCAATCATATGGCCACTAAAAACCACATGAAATTTGTTCCAAAACAACGATATGAAAGATTAGAACTTTCGATACTGAGATCCCAAAACAAATGTGAAAGAAAATAAATTATCCAAAATAAGCCCAGTAGTAATGTATACACTAACAAACCATTGAGCACACTTGGAACAATGTCATAAAAATACAGAGACGGGTGCCAAGAATAAGAATTTATCAGACTGTAGTCAAGATAAATGAACCAGTGTCACTGAATTTCCACAACTTGCATTAAACAGCATAAATTATATTGGCAAGGAACATACCTTCATAAAAGGTCGGTCACGACTGGGAAATGACTCAAGGAAACTCTCCTTTAAAAGCAATGACACCTAAAGGTCAAAGAGAAGATTATAATGAACAATTTACTGATGTCAATTCTGTAATATAAGGAGTGTTCATCAACAAACTATTCAATGATTGTGGGAATGACTACGCATCAAAGCCCTGCAGTGTCCTTTGCAAAAGAGTGTGATGAAGAAATATGACCTCACTTTCATAACTAAAAAAAGAAAGGGCTTCTTGCAGTGAAAGCTTCAAAATCAAAAACCATGCTGATTGTCTCTATATAAGAATATCTTTTTAAGTAAATTCAAATCGCTGGTAACACTGCTAAATAACCCATGAACAATACATACTCTGTTGCCAAGTTTTTGCATTGTAAGCAGTTAGGGGCAATCTCTGCAGAAGGCTAAGATACCGATTAATTTTGCATGCAAATTACAAACGAAGTATATACTAGTTACATGTATAGGTCAACTTCCATCCACGATGAAAGTATATATATAATGAACCTTATACCTGTTCCATTGAGTTTGGTTCACTGGAGAAAGGAGTACATCTAGACACCCATTGAGATATTTCTAACTACTACACATCTTGAATTTTATCAGTTTATCCCATATTTTAAGACTTAATTGTGTAGTAATATCTATAATTTAGTTATTTAAGGAGAAAGCATTAAAGTAGGAAAATAATTTCCTTCACTGAAGAAGTAATGAAGAATTTCCTGATTCTTTCAGCAAATTCATTCAGTCCATTCTTTCAGAAAACCCAGCTACAAAAATACAAAAGAACGAAAAAGAAAAATATAAACCTTATCATCATTGGACTGGACGTTTGTAATTGTATGAGAACGAAGGTTAGAGCAAAGAGAATCCAAGTACGATCTCAATACTCCTAAGAAACCCTTGGCAGCTTCAACCTAAAATAATAACACACATAAAACAGTAATTTGGAAGCGAAGAAAATTACTAGGCAATATTACCAGATACACACTTCAATTATGTTGCATTAAATAAAATATGGAAACATGAAGTGCAAACAGGAAACATGTAAATACTAAGACAATTATTTTTCAAAGCTTTACAAATGTTCAAATCACCATGCACAATGAAGTCATAAAAAGGCAAGAAGCCAATGACCCAAGAACGCCTAGTGGGCATTTGGTATAAGAGGTCAGAAAAAAAAAAAAAAAATTGTGGGTTTCTAGTCTGGGTGAGAAAAAGAAAAGAAATAATTACATTTTCTCACTATCTTGTTTGGATGGGTAATAAAGCAAAGCATGTAAGAGATGGATATGACTAAGATTTCTTTCTCTTTGTGTTTTTGTAACAATCCCAATTTTGTTTATTTAATTTAGATTATTAATTGTTTTCTTTTAAAATTATTGCCACCCTAGATTTATTTCATTGTGTTAATTGGGTTATTGGAAGATGGATTTAGTTATGTTTGATTGAGCTTCAAAAGTGAGAGAACTTAGCAGTATATGATGTATGCTTTTTGCAGATGATATCATGTTAGTAAATGAGACTAGAGGAGTTAACTCCAAGTTGGGGACTTGAAAAGAAGCACTTGAATCTAAAAGATTTAGAATAAGCAAAATTAAGACAGAGTACATAGAACGTAATTTTAGTAATAATAACCATGGAAACAAAGAAGTGAAGATTGAGAACCAAGAACTATCTAAGAGTGAAGATTTTCATTACTTAGGATCGATTATCACAACGGTTGGTCCATAGAATTAAGGCGGAGTGGCTTAAGTGGAGGAGTGTGTTTGCGGCGGTATTGTGCAATAAACGAGTACCTACTAGACTTAAAGAAAGTTCTATAGAAACGCTATTAGACCAGCAATGTTGTATGAGACTGAATGTTGGGCAACTAAAAAATAACATATAGATAAGATGAGTGTTGCTAAAATGAGGATGCTAAGGTAGATGTGTGGCAAAGCTTAGGAATGAGTATATTCGTGAATGGATAGAAGTAGCATCGATAGAAGTAAGCTGAGAGGGAATAGATTGAGATGGTTTGGTCATGTACAATAGAGAATAACAGAGGCAATAGTGAAAAGATGCTATACAGTGACAGTAAAGGAAAGTGTTAGAGGAAGCGACAAACCTAAATTGACATGGGTTAGTGTAGTAAATAGAGATATGAAGAGATGCTATAGAGTGACAGTAAAAGGAAGTGTTAGAGGAAGCGACAAACCTAAATTGACATGGGTTAGTGTAGTAAATAGAGATATGAATTTCCTTAATTTGACTAACCAAATGGTCTTTGATAAAGTCGGGTGGAGAAGAAAGATTTATATAACCGACCCCATTTGATGGGACTTAGAACTTGGTTTGGTTTAGGTCAATCGGGAGGTCCACGAGCCCTCCATTCGCGGATAATACCTTTATGGTATCCCATTTTAATTCTCAGAGCGAACAACTGCTCTATAAGATCCAATCAACCAGCTAGTGTATTTTTGGCTGCATTGTTTTCTCCGTCATATGCTATATTAGTGGGTGTGGGCTCCACACTGTATATACATTTATAACATAGATACATCAACTTATACCCATTCTTACACTCTCTGCACTTAGTTTTCTCACTCACTAACACTCTAGAATGCTCACACCAATACTATCAAGAAGGAAGAAGTAGAGACTAATCCCAAATCTTGTAAAGAGTAGTCGTAGATTGTCCAAGACTCTTGTTTTTCATCATTTGGATCTGTAATTTTTACCAACATTTCTAGACCAAAATTTCTTCATTTGGACACTAGGTAGGAGGCTTCTACCTTTTACATGTATTCCTTGGTGTTTTGTGTTAATTTCTAAAATTATTCATGTGTATGAAACTTTCTCATATCTTTGTTTCTTACAAATATGAGATGAGCACGATTCTTTGATATTCTTTTGAGTTGAAAATACTTAAATCCCACCCTAATTTTATGTAAAACATGTTGATATTGAAAAACCCCAAATTGATCCTAACCGTAGGAATGTGAATTCTGAAATTGTGAGATTTTCATTGCATTAACATGAAATTTGATTTGGAATCTTATTAAAAATGTTAGAACTTCATAAATCTTGTTACAAGCTCTAATTGTATAACTTGGAATAGGAACCCTTTTGGGAGGAATTGTTGTGCTAATTATGTTGGGGATACTCCTCGAGGAAGGAATTGAATTGAGATAAATTGATGTACATAATGCACTTCTTTGGGAAGGAAACTGTATGATGTAGAATGTGTGGAATAAAATGTGGGTGTTATACTCCAAGGTTAGAGACCATAAACTTGGCCAAGTGGGATGACAGGTCCCTTCGGATAGCAACAGGAAAAGCCAAAAACTTGGCCTATGCCTAAGGCAAGGTGCAATGGATACGCAATCCCACTGTCTCTGTGTGTGTGTGTGTGTGTGTGTGTGTTGTAAACTAGTAATTTTGGCAATGACTGTTAAATATCTGGTTAATGCAAAGTTTAACCCCTTGTTACTCTATATGTGAATTCTCTCATATGTTCTCATTTTGTTTATCATAGCCAACTGCACATGTTATACTCTACTCCATGCTCACTCGCACACTTCACCATTGTGGTGCTGGTACCTGTTATTGGTAGATGTTATCTACTGATATGGGCTCAAACCGTTTTATTTTCCATTTTAGATGCAAGTGGGTCTTAGTTGGGTGAGAAGCTATTTGTGCTGAAGTTTTGGCGCTTTCATGTTTTAATCTGTTAATGAGCATTTACCAGTGCAAATTTGAAAGTATGTCGGAAATTATTACATTGTTACATATTTAATCATTTAAACTATGTTGTACGGCGTAGAGACTTGATGCACGTATTTTGGCCCTGGCGTTGCAATGTTTTGTAATCCTTATATTTGGAACTTGATTGCCTAAACTTGTATGCTTGGATGGATTTGGATGCTTGCATGTGGGGAACAGGGAAAATCTTATAAATGATGCATCACGTGACAAACTTCTTTGATAAATTTTGAATGCAGCGTAAACAAATATTTACTAATTTTAGAAATATGTTTTCAAATATATGAATAATAATTAAATAATTGTTTTAGAAAAATCGCGGTGTGACAATTTTAATGGGCAATCTCAGTATTATGAAAATGTTATGGTAAATTACAAATAAACCCCCTAAGTTTTCTTAAAATACGATTTGTCCCCTATTGTTCCTCAAATTACATCACGCCCCTTGAAATTTCCAATTTCCTAACAAATGACCCTTTTTATTAATAAATCAAGTCAATTAACAGTTTTTAATAATATTACAAATTCATTTCAATTAATAATTCAAGTAATTTTATCTTGGTATAGAAGAGTAGTTAAGAATTTCATTTTTTCATTTTTTCAGTTAATTCTGTTAAATAAAAAATTCTGACAATGGGATATTTATAATTTTTCAAACCACGGGGAGCAATCAGTATTTTAAACAAACCTCAAGGGGTGTATTTGTAATTTATCCAAAATTTTATAACCAAGCAATTTGTTTCTCACCACTTTTGGTGAGAGATGAAATAGGCAAAATAAGAGAGCTAGTTCTCACCATTTCTCACCTAATTTATAAACCAAGCATGAGAAAAAGTTATGTTTCTCTTCATTTCTTATCACTTCTCACCAAATCACCCCATCCAAACACTGTTAAAGTTTGTAAGTCAAGTTATGAATTGATGGGGAACACAAGCTGAACAGTGTTAAACTTATATATATCATTCAGTTATCCAGAAGAGCACCAGTTGTCATATTTTGAGCCATGTAACTTATTAGGTATAACTATGGTAAAGAGAAACTAATCACCATGCTTGGTTTCAGTTTTTCAAAAACTGTTTTCAGAAAATTCTACTTTCTTATTTTCCGTATTTTTTTGTTTTTACTGATTTTTTTAATATTTTAAGTAATTTTTTTTACTTTTTAGACATACCTAACATAAATATACCTAAAAAGAAAAAAATTTGTAAAAGAAACCTTTTAAAAATTCACTAAATATCAAAAATACAAAAACAATACGAGAATTCAGTACATTTTTTGTATTTTTATGTATTTATTAATTTTTAAAAATATTTTTTCCAAATTTTTTACTTTTTGGATACATCTAAATAAGGTGCATCTAAAAAAGTAAAAAAAATATTTAAAATTTTAAAAAAATTCACTAAAAACAAAAAACACGAAAATCAAAAAACTCAGTTTTCAAAAAACTTAACTCAAAAAACTCAAACCAAACACACTGAATAAATCCTTGAAGGATGCATGGTACAGGGAACACTTGCAGCCATTTGATCAGATAACCATCCATATATACTATAGTTGAATTTTCAGTTAAATATAACTGGAAAATTGAAAAAGAATAGAATCTTGTACAACATACCTGTGCATCAGTACATTCATACACTGGCCTTTTTCTCCCCAAGAAACTCTCTCCCACAAGTTTTGCATGGTAAGGAATTAAGTATGAGTACAACTCCTTCTGCTGGGGTAGTTGAGGTATTGTTGGCGACCTCACCTATTGCCTCATGCAATAGCAAAAATATATGATTGCCGAGTTTGAAAGTGCGTTAAACTAAAGTTTAATATGTAACAACAATATGAGGCAATGAAACAACCAAATGAAAGCAGCAAAAAGAAATAATGTAAAAAGATAAAAGCAAGCAATTGCAAGCTATGCTAGCGGGGCATATAACGATAAGCATACTTGTACTAGCATATTTTAGAGCTTTGATTAAGACTGACCCACATTGCCTTGCATATCCATGTCAAAATCAGTCCTAATTGTTAAATTAAAATACTCCAAAGAAAAATTTAATGGCCTAACAATAATATTTAATCCCCAATCAAGGCCACCCCATACCTGTAACCAAGATTAATCATAAAGTTCACAGAAAGGATCAAAGTATTTTATATGTTTTATTAATCACAGCTCATTTGAATCCACTGATCAATGTCCTAAGAATATGCACTTTGATGCATGTCAACCCTTTCCCCACCCATCAGCTTGATGAGACAGATTTATGAATAATCGGATTCTCCTGTATATGTTATTTGTGAACTGGAATAGTTTTTAACCAAACTGCATATAAAAATCAAATACCATGTGATTAAGCTTATTGCCCTCTTAATCAATCAATAAAAAAATGGAAATTCAGGACTATGTCTACTTTGCGCAGCAACTAGTCTCAATGTAGGTGTTCGTAAGATAGTGTCGGTCCTGGCCTGACCTGGCCTCCTTGAATCCCAGTCATCTGACATTTTTTCTCTATGTTGAGAGAGAGAGAGAGAGAGCTACTTTTCGAATAGTTTGTACTACACCTATATGATTCTTGATCTTGTAACCGTATCAATTCATCAGGAAAAAAACATCAACTTGTAAAAGATGATACCAAGTGTGTGGTGGGTGGTGAAAGTGAGGCTGGAATTCTTTAAGAGGAAGGAGAGAGAATGATCAATCTATTGGCTAAGCCGGAGGTTGGTCGTCGGCAGCGGTGGTTATTGTTTTTGGGTCCACATTCGTTCGAGATTGAGGAAGCAGCCGATTCTATATTTGTTGATTGTTGAAAGAGGTCAACAGTTGTGTAAGGAAATCAACTTGATTTGTGAGGAGATTTGTTGGTTGGTAGCCAGGCTGCGAGCGGCAGCAGAGAGTGATAGGTTTTCTAGGTCAGGTGTGGGGTCGTTGGCGGAGCTGTGCATGTTGGTTGTGCAATGATCAGGAGGCAGACTGGTCAAATGGTGGTGATGATGGGATCTCAACATCAGCAAATTTTCGTTCCTCAATCAGAGGGTCATTGGAAGGGCCTTGTTTTGGTCCTCGAAGGTTTTGATCCAAGTGGTGGTTAGGTTCACGGGCAGCGGCCGTCGATGGTGGTCGATAAAGGGTTGGGGCGAACTGACCAGCAGTGTCTGATTCATTTGGAACAAGGGCGTCAAACTGCAAGTCAGCGGTTGACCAAGATGGTTGTCGTGATTTTGGGCTAGATCATGGAAGTAGGTGGTGGGTCATGCTGGCTCTAGTTTGAGGGTGAAGAAGTTTGGGTCAGGTTTGGAGCAAGGGCGAGGTCTGGGGTTGGGGGTTGGGCATTAATCTGTTTTGGCTGGTTTGGGTTGGGCCAAGTGATGAAGCCTGCGGTTGGGCTGCCTAGGATGGGGAATGGTTTGGACTACAGGGGTTTGGGCCAGTGGAGTGCTCACAGACAGTTGGGTGTTAGAAATGGGTTTGCTAAAGTGGGCAAGTCAAGGCATGTGGTTGGTATGGGCTGAAATGTGTTACAGACTGGTCTGCTCCAAAATGTGGGTGCCAATCCATTTATCCATCCAGAGGGTTTTCGGGTCCATCCATAGTTCTTTCGGCCAGGGCGGGGCTATGGAAGGCAGGTCAGAGCTAGTAGGGGAAGGTCATCGTCGGGAGGCAAGGGCTTATTATCATGCAGCTTCAATGCAAACCAACGATGACTTGGGTCTGCAATGCCATGACAACTTCGGACAGGGTGTGTGGGGAGGATGACTTTGATCAAGAGTACGTTATGGAGTATTCCGATGTGTTTTATGTCGGTGCATGTCATTCCGGTTTCAGTGGCTGGAAAAGTAATAGCATTATTTTCTTTGGGGTGGGATGGGTGATGAGTTTAAGTTTCATTTAGTGGATTGGAAGTCAATTTGTAGTCCAAAGTTAGTTAGTAGCTTTTAATAGGGCGTTGTTGGGGAAGTGGCTATGGCCATTTGTGGGGGGAATCAGATCAGCTTTGGCGTCGGGTGGTGCTTGCGAAATATGGAATTGGGTGGGGGAATGGTGCCCTAGGGAAGTAAGGTTAACTCAATAGTAGTGGTTTGTGTAAAGGTATTTGGCTAGGGAGGGGAGAGTTTTGGAGGTGGATTAGGTGGGTAGGGGTGATCGGGGTATGGTTCTAAAAGAATAGGTGGTTTGGTGCTCAAACTTTGGCATCTCAGTTTCCGTTGCTATTTCGGCTTGCCAATTAGAAGGATGCGGAAGTGGCTTCTTATTTGACTTTAGTAGGTGGACCATGTGGGATGTGAGGCTTCGTGGGGCAATGTTTGTTTGGGAGGTTGGTCAATTAGTAGATCTTATGGTTTAGGGGGTTGGGTTGGAGGAGGATGGTTTGGTGTGGTGTTGTAAGGAGGCTAAAGGGGGTTTTTCGGTGTCATTGTTTTATCAGGCCCATGTGGGACCCTTGGATGTTGCTTTTCCTTGGCAGGGTGTGTGGGTGGTTGTTGTGCCATCCAAGATGGCATTTTTTATGTGAACGATTGTGCATGATCTGATTTTGACTTTGGATAATTTGATTCGTCGTGGTTAGATTCTAGTCAATTGGTGTTGTTTATGTTGTCTAGATGCGAGTTGAATTTTGTAACAAGGTACTAAGGTTGAATACCATACCAAACCAAGCCAAGCCTTAAGTTCCATCAACTGGGATCGGCTACATAAATCCTTCTTCTTTATTCGACTCTATCCATGGCCATTTAGTTAGTCAAATTTAGAATATTCATATCTCTATTTACTACACTAACCATGTCAATCTAGGTATGTCTCTTCCCCTATTAGTTCCATCTACCGTTATTGTATCGTATATATTCACTGCTGCCTATATTAGTTTCTGTTGTATATGACCAAACCATTTCAATCTATTCTCTCTCAACTTATCTTCTATCGATACTACTCTTGCCTATTCACGAATATACTCATTCCTAACTCCGTCTTTTCTAGTCTTACCACACATCCACCATAACATTATCATCTTAGCAACACTCTATCTTATCTACATGTTATTTCTTAGTTGCCCAACATTCCGTCCCATATAACATCGCTGGTCTAATAGTCATTCTATAGAATTTCCTTTTGTCTAGTGGGTACTCGTTTATAACACAGTACTCCCGACGCACTCCTCCACTTAAGCCACCTTGCCTTAATTCTATGAATCACATCCGCTCCAATCTCCCCAACCATTCACAATCTTCACCTCTTCTCTGCTTCCATTGTTAATATTAGTAAAATTACACTCCATGTACTTTGGCTTAATTCTGCTTATCCTAAATCTTTTAAATTCAAATGCTTCTCTCAAAGTCTCCAACTTAGTGTTAACTCCTCTAGTCCCATCCACTAATACGATATCATCTACAAAAAGCATATACCACGGCACATCATCCTTAATATTTCTTGTCAACTCATCCATAACTAAAACAAAAAGATAAAAACTTAAGGTAGATCTTTGGTGTAATCCCACAATAATTGAAAATTCACTTGTCTCTCCAGCGGGCGATCTAATAGTGGTTACCACACCTGCATACATGTCCCTAATCACATCAATATAACCTTTTGTCACTCATTTCTTCTCTAGCACCCACCAAATTATATCCTGAGACTCTCTCTCATATACTTTCTCAAGATCGATAAAAATCATATGAATGCCTCTTTTCTTTTCTCTATATTTTTCTATTACTCTCCTCAAAAGATAGATCGCTTCCATCGTTGACCTGCCAGGCATAAATCTAAATTGATTCTCTGACTCCTCTGTTATATCTCGCAATCGACGTTCAACCACTCTCTCCCACACTTTCATTATATGACACTTTAGCTTGATTCCTCTATAGTTGTTACAATTCTGGACATCACCTTTATTCTTATAGATTGGCACTAAAATACTCTTTTTCCCCACTCCTCTAGCATTTTCCTAATCAATAAAATCTTGCTAAATAATCTAGTCAACCAAGCAACTCTCTTCTTACCCAAACATTTTCCAAACTTCAATGGGGATATCATCCGGTCCTAAAGCTTTATTCGATTTCATCTTCTTAAGTGCAATTTCTATTTCAAAATTCCTAATCCTACAATAGAACTTGCAACCTTGGTTTTCCTTATTACTGGCTACTTCCTCCCCTTTCGACCTTCCTCCATGTTTCTCATTTAATAATTTCTCAAAATAGATCTTTCACCTCACCTTAATCTCTTCATCCTTCACCAACACCTTAGAGTTCTTACTCTTGATGCACTTAATTTGATTAAAATCTCTTGTTTTCCTCTCTTATCTTAGCAAGTTTGTATATTATCCTCTCCCTCCTTACCATCTAATCTAGTGTATAGGTCATCACAGGCTTTCAACTTAGCCTCTCTCACTACTTTTTTGATCTCCTTATTAGTCAATCTGTAACTCTTAAGATTTTCCTCAGTTTTATCCTTATGCCACTTTTTAAAGCACTTTTTTTGTCTTTACTACCGCTTGAACCTCCTCCCTCCACCATCAAGTTCCCTTAGAGTTTAGTCCCTTTCCTTTCGACCAAAGGACTTCCCTTGAGATTCTCCTCATACAATTAGCCATCGAATTCCACATAGTGTTAGCATCATCTTCCAAGTCCCAAGTACCTTCTTCATCCATTCTATTCTTAAATATTTCTAATTTATCCCCTTTTAGGTTCCACCATCTCATCCTACGATGTCCAATATCCTTCCTTCCCTTTAAAGCATAGATCTAATACCAAAATCCTACGTTAAGACGT